AAGGGTCAGTTCCTTGTGGAGCTGAGCTTGCTTTTCTGGTCCTACCTGCACGACTTACAGTCTGTCTGTACACATAACCAAATGCACAGAGGCTTGCGCACTTCCCCGTTGGGAAGTTTTTGAGCTTGTTCAGTGACACTAAACTAAAAGCAGTGCAGTTCTTTGGATTTGGGCAATGAAACCTGAGAGACGGCCCCACCACCGTCTACCCAGAGACAGTGGCACCATGGTCCAGGGGAGGAGTCTCCCCTGAAGATGGCCACCTCATGTTCTTTCCCACTGAGTGAGCAGGACAGGCTGCCCTTTCAGGGAGACCCAGGCTCTGCTCCCAAACGTGCTGCTGCAAATTGATCCCTTGAGGAGTCTTTGTTCTCTCAACAAGGCTGCGTGTGACCTCTGGGCCGCCAAGATGGCTTGCTTAAGTCAGCTCTTTCTCTGCTGTGACCAAAGGACCCAACAAGAACAGGTTGGAGGAGGAGAAGTTGATCTGGGGCTCATGGTGTCCGAGGTTCAGTCCCTGGTGGCCGACTTCATGGCTCTGGCCCAAGGGGAGGCAGAACAAAATGGCGGCAGGGCCTGGAGGAGGAGAGCAGCTCAGGACAGGGCACCAGGAAGCAGAGAGAGAGGGAGAATCCAGGGACAATATATAGTCCCCCAAAGCCACTCTTAGTAACCTACCTCCTCCACTCATACCCTAACTGCCCTGTTTATCCACATCAGTGGATTAATCCACTGACTAGGTCACACCTCTCCAACCCAATCTTTTCACCTCTAAATTTTCTTGCATTGTCTCATACACGAGCTTTTGGGGGACACTACATCTAAACAATAACCGTGATATGAATAATAAAGCAGAGTGATTTTGTAACCATATCCTGAATTACAAGGTAGCTGAATATGTTCTCTGTCTCTTTAAATGTCATATTGTCCTTCTACTTTTTATCTTGAAGGAAGCGCTTTCTGACTCCTCCGCTTTCTGTATTGGCAGCCTTACTCCTCTTTCATTTGGGGACTCTTATTGAGGAAAGTACCAGTGAGTTGAACACAAGCACTCTGATACTATGACATTCCAGCAACAGAGATGGTCCCAAGTAACTAACGAGAGGGTAGCATATACAGAGACGGTCTAAGTAACTAATGAGAGGGTAGCATATACAGCCTGGATACACTGGGTAAAGGGATGATTCATGTCTCCACTGGAGTGCAGCAGCATCATGCCCCTCAGAATGTAATTTAAAGCTTCTGAATCTTCTTTGTGCAATCTTCTGTGTGTAGTTTGTGTTTGCCCACTTCTTGGGAGGGTGAGTGATAGACTTTTAATCCACTTTGGGGGAGCAGGATATGTGATTTAGAGAACTTCCTGGGGTCCTCAGACCCCTACTTAGGGATGATGTCAAAACCATTTAATAGTTGGGGAAGGAGGGTCATAGTGTGGGAATTGGTTATCTCCAAGAATGCGGAGGCTGAGGCAGGAGGATTGCAGGTTCAAAGCCAACCTCAGCAAAAGCGAGGTGCTAAGTGACTCAGTGAGACTCTGTCTCTAAATAAAATACAAAATAGGGCTGAGGATGTGGCTCAGAGGTGGAGGACCCCTGAGTTCAGTCCCCAATCCCCTCCCAACAACAACAAAAAAGAAATAACTAGACATGGAGGGAACTTACGCATGCTGCCTCTGCTAGATAAAACTCGTGGTATTTGTTCAAGAGTTGTGTGATGCTTCCATTGAGCATTTGGGGATCTTAAATGACAACAAAAATCACTTCCCACTGAGAATTGAAAGGGCAGATTTGCAAATCTAGCAAACTAAAAGAACAGTGGTCCTCCTGGTAGGCAAAGTTTCCCTTACTGAGTTTTCACAGTTGCCCACGTTAACCACGGTCCGAAAACAGGAAATTTCCAAAAACTCAGAATTCATTCATTGTTAAGTTGTTCTGATGTTTGATTTGTTTTATTTAGTTGTTCTATTTTATTTTTCACATTTGTTCCTGATCTTTTACCAATCCTGATTGACAAATTAAACTTAATTATAGGCTTATATGTATAGGGAAAAAAAATTATTTTTGTGCCGGATCCCCACCTGCCCTATCTCCAAGAAATGCCGGGATAGCGTTTGATATGGTTGATGGCTTCAGGTACCCCCTGGGGATCTCAGAACACTTCCTTGCCAACCAAGGGGGTGTGATTGTTGCTTTTTCTTTCTGAACAAAGGCAACTAAACATACCCATTTGCCCTGTTTGCAGAGATGAAAGCATATTTTCAGTACTCTAGGGACACAGTGTCCTTTGCAGGAACACACTGATGTCATGAAGGAGTTGCTTTTATCAGTAGAGAGTGAACTAGCCCAGTGTGGGATCCCCAGGAATCATTTTTTCCATGTGTGTTGGTTGGAATTTTCCAGAACTTCCTTGAAGTGCGATGACATCATCCCTCCAACGCCAATGGCATCTTTCCTAGTGTCCTCTCTTGCTTAATTCTTTCTGCTTGAATTTTTTCCTACCATGATGACCTCCACCTACCCCCTATGTAAAGGAGCAAATGCTCCAGAGGGTCCTCGGTGCATTTTTGAGGAGGTTCAAAGGATCCCAAGACCAACACATTTGAGAGCCGCCATTTTGAATTCACAGCCAGGACTGTGATCCTTTCTCCTTGGCATTCTGAGCTGGCCAAGACTGACTCACGTCTGTAGATAGAAGTAATGCCTCAGTGTTGGGTGACAATGTCTCTTTCTGTTCTTTGTCTTTTAAGGTCTTCATTTTTATCATCATACCCAACTGGGGTTATGGGTTGTTGGACGTCTCCCTCGTGTGGAAACCCAGGTCATACCTTGGCTTCCCAACCTCTCTCCAGAGACATTTCCAACCCTGCTCACAACATAATGGCGGACACGAATGTTGGGTCCAAGTAGCCACCACACCAGTTCTTTGATGTCAAAAAAATAGGTCCCACATAGTGAGAGCCAGAACAAACCTTGTAAAAGGTTGAATGAAGGTCATAGGAATGGATTCTGGTGCCCACCAGGATCAGGGGTTGCATTTTGAGTTTGTGGCATGTGCTCAGCTGGGATTTGGGATTCCCATGAATGAGGATGCTCTGGTCTTCTTAGGGGACTTTAGAGAGAACCAGGTGGATTCAGGAGTTGGCTATCCATGGGGGACATTGACCCAGATGTAGATGTCTGTCCTCCTGGTTTAGAAGTCTCACTCTGGCTAATGGAACCCGAGGCCACAGTGAGGAATGCAAGATGGCGGATTCAGGATGATGGGATGGGTTGGATGGAGGGACCAGGGAGATTGTCCCCTCTGAAGAAGTGTGAGTCTGAATTAAGGTCTTGTCTTCTCTTTCCAGTCTTGGCCTTTGGTTCCAGGACCTGTCACAATCTCAAAGTCTGTGGGTGCTCAGCTCCCCTCTAAGATGGTGTCCTGTGGGCCTAGAACCTGCACCCATCTTCCTGTGTGCTGTATGTCATCTCTCCATGACACGGGACACCCGATACAATGCAAATGCTTTCTCAAGAGTCATGGTACCATATTGTCACCCATGAACCCGTTACCTGTCCATCTATCCATCCACCCCTCTATCCACCAGTTATCTACCAATCTATCATCTGCCATCCATCTATTAACCAGTTATCCATCCACACCTATCACATCTGTCAGTCAGTTGTGATTGACAACTGGTGTCCACAACATGGTGTCTACACTGCATAGATGCATTTAACACCACTCAACCGCATATGAGAAAGGGCTATGGTGGTAAATCCCACTCTGTGTACATTTTTTCCACTGAGAAAAAAAAATGCATTAAAGCTAAGTAGATTCAAGTAGGTCACGGGTTGGGCACCATCTTGGTCCCTGTGTTTGGTTTGAGGAAGCCGATCCATTGAGATAGCTGGGAACGTGGTGTCGTGTGACCGACTCGGGCACATTCTGCATGCAGAATTTACTTGCTTGGATGTCATCCCTGATGGTGCCCTGTAGGTCCTTCCTGGGTGAGGAGCGACTCTCACTAACATTGTCCCCAGGTGCAGAACCACCTCTCGTCCACCAACAGTGGTCCCAGACATTCTGCTTCTACTGAGGTCAGCTGAGTTTGGTCATCAGAGGACTCCCTGACACACAGTCACACCACCAAGGCCTGCGAGGGATTTGAGGGGCCGATACTTCGTGCCCCAACCTCCATCTTACAGACACACCACGGTGTGTCTTCTTAGAATCTTCTTGAGACTTAATATTTTGGACACCTCAGACCTTGGGAGAAAGGAGAGGGGGTGCATTTGTAGAGTTGCTGCCTTTACCCAGACACCCCTGTTTCGATCTTCTGCCCTATGTCACCTGATTGTCCTGTTGAAGCTGCAGTGAAGGCTGACCCACGTGTCCCCCTCATCCTGCAAAGTTTGGGGACATGCTCAAAGATGCCGAGAGCTGGAGGGAGAGGAGGGGTTCTCTTTTTGGATGGGGTGGGCCACGGCGAGTTCCGGAAGGGAGCGGTGGATGCTGGATGGGGCATCTGGTTGGAGTGTGGGGCCGTAGTTGGTGACCCAGTGGTCACCAACCTAACAATTACTTTGCCCCCAAGGTCAAAGTGGCTGATTTTGAAATAAGAGCATTTTTTGATTTTTGAAATAAGGGCATTTGTCTACAATTCTTGAAAGAAAGGAAAAGAGAGCAAGCCGTGCTGGAGGAATGATTTGCTATTATCTCCTGTTGCCACCTGGGGGAGGGCGTGGTTTCTCCAGGATGGTTTTTTACAAAATGGCGCCCACTTTCCCTCCAAGTGAAAGAGCCATTTGGGAGCAGGTGATTCTGTCCCTCTCTGTAATATGTGTATGCACCTGCAAATTTTATGGGACAGTGACCACCTGGGTACATCAGCCAGGATACCAAGCCTCCAACCCCAGTGGGATTTGTTTGGAGGTCCCAGATCCCCCCCACTGATTCCTTGGATGGCCTTCACCATCATGGACAGACCTGACTGCTTATGTTCCTTCTCTCCTCTCCAGGGACGGGGACCTTCGGGCGCGTGCACTTGGTGAAAGAGAAGGCTGCTAAGAACTACTTTGCCCTCAAGGTCATGAGCATCCCCGAGGTCATCCGCTTGAAGCAGGAGCAGCATGTTCACAACGAGAAGTCGGTCCTCATGGAAGTCAACCACCCCTTCCTCGTCAAGCTGTGAGTTCCTCGCCTTCCCTTCCCCCTTAACCCACCCTGGGATTCCCCAGGGTCTTGTCTTAGAAGAAATGGGTTGAGCCAAATGGACGTGGTGGTACATGTATATAATCCCAGGCTGGAGGCTGAAGGAGGAGGATGGCACATTGGAGGCCAGCCTCAGCAACTTAGCAAAACTCTATCTCAAAATAAAAATAATAAGAGGACTGGGGATGTAGCATCCTAGGATTCTATGTCTTAATGGGAAAAAAAAAAATCTTAATGGCTTTATTAATTCCAATCATCTTTTAGATTTCCATTAAGATGTACCCTGGACCTCCTTCCTGTTGAATGGGTCCAACCTTTACCCAAAGAATCTGGCCTTCCCTGTTTGGCTTAGTCCATATGGGCTGCTACGACAAAATGGTTGAGACTGGGTTAATTATAAACACCATTATGCATTCATTTATTGTTCTCAGTTCTGGGGACTGGATGTCCAAGATCAAGGTGTCAACAGATTTTGTGTTTGGTGAGGGCTCCTTCTCTTCCAAGATGGCGCCACCTTGTTGGGTCCTCATAGAGTAGAAGGGGCAGGACCTCCCTTGGAGTCATTTATAAGGCTTAATTGCCTTCATAATGATGGCACCCTGGTGACCAAGTCACCTCCCGAAGGCCCACCTCTTATTACTAACACATTGCGGATCAGGGTCCAACATGGAAGTCCAGACCATGGGGACAGAGTAAGAGTATTTTCCATCCATTTGCCAAAGGTACAGATGGCCTGCGTCTCTCTTTTCCCATCCATGGGGCCTTCCACCCAGCAACCACGTCTTCCGTCCGCCATGTTGGTAATGTTCCTCTCCTGGATTATATGGATCCGGATTCACGCCCATCATTCCTAGACACACCCTCACTGACCGCCCATAAGCCTCTTAACCCTCAGCATCTCTTGATCCAATCAAGTCGACAGTTCAGATTGGCCATGTTAATGGCCATGTTGGTTTTTCCCAGATGCTTCCCCAAGGATGTACCTGCACACCCACATAATAGGGACCCTCCGCACTTGTCTTAGGTCCATTTTTCTCTTACTGTAGCAAAATACCGGATGCCGGGTACTTTATAAAGAAAAGAGGTTTGCTTCGTTCACTGATTGGGAGGTTGCAAGCCTCACATTGGGAGGCTCCATTTGGTTCAGCCTCATGGCGGTGAGCAGATTGAAGTGGGTTCAGTTCTTCTTTTCAGTAACCTCCTGGGCTTGGTCTTCTGCACACATTCTCTTTCCACGTGCTCCTCTGACTTCACGGCATACACACGTCTCCCCTGGTCTCGGGGCCACCCGATGGCACCAGCCAGGTGTGTTACCTTTTAGTGGGAAAATCACCTTCAGCAAATCTTCTGGAACATTCCAATTTTGGTTAAAAGCCCGTGACCCTTTGCCTCCAGACGGGAGAAATACTATGACACCTTCCATAGGAATCTGCATCCTCTTTAGAATGTGGTGATTTAAAATCCTAATGTACTAATGTCCTTGCCCAGAAGCACAATTTTCACTTATAAAAGAGGAATAGCTAGAAGGTACTACCCTGCCCCACATCCATGGGATTCCTTTCCGGAACTTGGGGAATATTTCTTTTTTGGGGGGTTACCAGGGATTGAACTCAGGGCTCTTGACCTCTGAGCCCCGTCTCCAGCCCTGTTTTGTGTTTTATTTAGAGACAGGGTCTCCCTGAGTTGCTTAGGGCCTCGCTTTGGCTGAGGCTGGCTTTGAACTCTCGATCCTCCTGCCTCAGCCTCCCGAGCCGCTGGGATTCCAGACCTGGGCCATCCTGCCTGGCAATTTGGGATTTTCTTTCTTTCTTTTTTTTAACTGTAAAGCACAACAGAGCTCATTCTTCAGGCTGTGTATGTCTTTGACGTAACTAAATGGACGCATCCCCTGGGTCCTGGAGGCTGGGAGTCTGAGAATAGGGTCAAGGTGCACCTAGTGCTGCAGAGCCTTAGAGAGTCCCCCCACGGGTCGCTCGGCTGAGCACCCCATGTTGGGCCAGCGCTGTGACTGTCGTGATTCCAAATCCCAAGAGGCACGTGTTTTCCGTGGGGTGGCACCGCTAGCGAAGGAGGCGTGGACTCCAAAGTGCCACCCAGGTCTGTCCCGACAGTCAGTCGCTTCACCTCGCAAGTGATTTCCACCCTCCCCGGGAGCGCTGAGCTGGTTCTGCTTCCATTCTTTTTATAACCACGTGCAATGAGAGCATGGTCAGAATCGAGTTTGCACAATTGGGGCCTCTGGGGCTGGGGGTTCTCTGGGGTGGGCTGTGCTGTGCGCTGCAGGGTGTGGAGCAGCCTCTCTGGGCCCCACACCAGGTGCCAGGAGCAGCCCCACCCAGGGTGTGAGAGCCACCTGGACAGACAGAATTGGTAGACAGATAGATAGATGACAGATAAATAGATAGATAGATAGACAGACAACAGCTGGATGGAGGGATGATAGAGACTGTGTCCTGCAGGTCTCCTCTGCCCTGTGGGCCTCTGGGGCTGGGGTTCTCTGGGGTGGGCTGTGCTGTGTACTGCAGAAGGTGGAGCAGCCTCTCTGGGCTCTAGAACACATGGCCTTAGGGGGACATTTATCCAGACCACAGTAATCTGTCATCTACTTGGAAGCAAGATGTTTGTTGACCCAGGACACATCTTCTGCTCTCGGTTGAATGACAGCTCGTGGGCCCACTGATGGGCATTAGGGGCAGTGGAGGGGTCCCTGCTGACCAGGAAAGACCTTGCTTTAGAGTCCGTGCACCCGGGTCTGGTTCCTGACCTCACGGGTCCTGGGGAGGTTCGTTGGAGGAACCGCCTCCAGTTTCTCTGAGCCTGAAGGAAGGAGGAAAAGATCTGCGTGTTCTGACTGTTTGGAGCTCTTCCTGTTTGTTAAAAACAGAGACCTGCCAGGAGCGGTTTCTCCTCCTTGGTCATTCTGTGCAAAGAACAGTTTGGGCACAAGAATAGCCGTCCCTGTCCCCAAACCTCAAATATAAGGAGATGTGTAGTGAGTTTTGGGGTGTTTGTGTGGGGTTGGGCGAGGGAGCTGGGTTCAGACGGTGAATGGGCACATTTTGCAGGAGGAATCGCTTAGTGTTTTTGTTCAGTGCTGGGCAGGGCCCGCAGGGTACCACTGAGCCATGTCCCCAGTCCCTTTTTTTTTTTAAATAATAATTTTGCAATACCTGGGATCGATCCCAGGGGTGCTGACCCACTGAGCCCCACCCCCAGCCCTTTTTTTCGCCGTTTATTTACGGACAGTGTCTCGCTAAGTTGCTTAGGGTCTGGCGAAGTTGCTGAGGCTGGCCTTGAACTTGCCATCCTCCTGACTCGGCCTCCCGAGTTGCTGGGAGTACAGGTGGGTGCCCCCGTGACCCCCTAGGATCAGAAGAGAAGCAGGAGGTGGACAGGGCCTTTGTTTTAGGGGAGCCACAGGGGCCAGCAGAGCCAGTGCGGGGAGAGCCAGCCTCTGGTCTCCTGGGGGCAGGGCTGGTGGCCCTAGAGGCAGGTCTGGTTGCAGGGAGAGGTTGCTGCAGAGGCTAAGGGGTGGGGTCACGCTTGCTTCCTTCCAGGGCAGCTTTGCAGGCTGTGGGGAAACGGTGACCAACTTTTAAAGACAGCTGACTGCCCACAAACAGGCTGGTTTGGTGTTTAATTAGGAGCACCTGCAGTGGGAGCCGTGGCTGCACACTTTGCAGACGAAAGACTGACAGCGCAGCCTCCGCCATAGCCCTGCCTTGAGCTAGAGATGCAGGAGGAGAGAGCCAGGGTCAGGCAGCTACTGCAGGGGCGTGGTCACAGAGGGGTGTGGTCACGAGGGGCATGGTTACAGGGGCCTATTGGCGTGCTTACTACGGGGCGTGGTTACAGTGGGGCGTGGTTATGCTGAGGTGTGGTCCTGGTGGGTGTGGTTACAGTGGGGAGTGTTCCGATTGGGTGTGATTGAGGTGGAGGCGTGGTTACAGTGGGGCGTGGTTATCCCTAAAGTGTGGCTGTGGTGGGCGTGGTTATGGGGGAGTGGCCACGATGGGGTGTAATTGAGGTGGGGGCGTGGCCACAGTGGGCGTGGTTATGGCTTAGGCGTGGTTACACTGAGGCATGATTACAATAGGGCTCCTTATACCAGGGTATTATCACTGTGGGTGTGGTCATGGTGGGGGTGTGGCCTCACTGGGGCGTGGTTTATGGCTAGGGGGTGTGGTTACAGTGGGACAGGATCAGGATAGGGCTGGTTGTAGGGGGTGTGGTCGCTATGGGGTGGGTCATGGTGGGGCGTGGCCACAACTGGGCGTGGTTTTTGACTAGGGTGTGGTTACAGTGGGACATGGTCACTATGGGGTTGGTCATAGTGGGGCTGCGGTCACCATGGGCTGTGGCCATGGTGGGGGTGTGGCCTCGGTGGGCGTGGCTTATGATGGGCATGGTTATGGTGGGATATGATTTATGGGTCTAATTATGCTGGGGCGTGGCCACAGTGAGGCGTGGCCACAGTGGGCGTGGTTATGGGACTGATTATGAGGGTCTCAGTTAAGGGGTGCTGTTATGGGGTCCCTCCTGAGTCTGGGAACTTCTCGAGTGTCCCCACACTTTGCTAACTGTTCATGTTGACTCTCTCTGTTGCTTGACTCTTTGAAAAAGACTTGGTCACAGAGACAAAAATTAAGATGGACACATTCTTTAAATTTAAAAATTTCATTGTCATCAAGAGTAGCATCTTAACATTTATTTTCTTGGCTCTTTTCTTTCGCTCTCTTTTTTTTGGGCGGAGTGAACTCAGGGGTGCTTAACCACTGAGCCCCATCCCCAGCCCTTTTTATTATTTTGAGACACGGTCTCACTAAGTTGCTTAGGGCCTCGCTACGTTGGGAAGACTGGCCTCCAACTTGTCATCCTCCTGCCTCAGCCTCCTGAGCCACTGGGATTATAGTGGTGCAGCATTGTTCCCACCCATCTTCATCATTTTGCAGTGTTTAGTACAGTGTCCTTAAGAATATTCTTAACTGTCAGGGGACTATCCCTACCAGAGATTTTTTAACTTGTGAAATTGGAACTCTTATAACTTTCCATTTTCCCTCTACAAGCCCCTGTAACTACTCGATTCTAGTTTCTGTCTCTGAGCTTGATGACTCTGTAGACCCCTTATGAGTGGACTCATGCAGTGCTGGTCCTTTTGTGTGTGACTGAATTCACTGAGTATGATTTTTCCGGGGTTCACCCACCCTGGACCCTGCTTCAGAATTCTCTTCCTTTTGAAAGCTGCATAATATTCCACTGCATGAATACATCCCTCGTGTTTATCCGCTCATCCACATACAGGCAAATGGGTTGCTGTCTCCTTTGGGCTTTTGTGGATATGGACCTGATTGTAGTGTTCAATTATTTGCTTTTAATGGTGTGTATAAAATTTCCCCCACTTAGAGAAGACGTATGCATTTTGCTATTTATTTTAAATCGTGCCACATGGGATTATCTTTTTTTCCTGCTGTCTCTAAATACCAGATATCCATTTGACACAGCCTGGAATGGATCTTTGCACACTTTTTTCTGAACTTAAAAACCTGCACACACACATACACACACACACACACACACACACACGTGGTCTTGGCGTTATGACACCATACTACGAACGCAGTTTGGCCAGCCTGCGTGTCCAGTCTGCTGCCCACCAATCAGCTCAGATACCCCCACACACACACTCAGGTCATTTCCTGCACAGATGTGACCTTGAACTTCCTCCGTGCCCTGCCTTCACCCCCAATCTGTTCCTTCTTTCAACTTCCCCATTTTATAAATGGCCCTTCCAATCTCCCGGGTCCCATGTGGCCACCCATTTCCAACTTCCTTTCTCTCAATGTCATGGTCCCTTCGGCCCCAGCTCCGCTGTCTCCAACCCTGGGACACATCTCAAGGCGTTTTCTGACGTCACCGAGGCCACATGATTTCCTGCGGGCCACCTCCTTTCTCTCCAGGGACCTACCCAGAGTCCTTCCAAGCTCCTGGGTCCCATGTGGCCGCCATTTTTAATTACTTTCCATTGACTTCTCCTCCGGTTGCCGGCCCTGCCCTGTCCATCCCAAGGGCACCATCAGCTGGGCACACACACACACAGAGCCCAGAAGACACCTTCTCTGCCCGCGGAGCCCAGCCTTTGATTGGGGCCTCCGTTGATTGGGGCCTCCGTTTCCAGCCTCCTTTGACCCTGATCTCTCTATGCTCCATCCCATCTGTCCTAGTGGGGTGCCACGTGTTTCAGGATTGCACATCGTTTGCGTTTCTGAATCTCCCCACGGATCCCTGGACCCCTTGGGGATGAGACCCGAGTCTGCCCACAGAGTCCCTGTGCATCGCACAGACGTCGTGGAGGATGCGTCAGCCTCCAGTTGTGATTCTGTGCAGGGATCAGCTGCGCGGAGCAGAGTCTCGCGCTGCGGGCTCCCCGTGGTCCTGCGGAGACTTTGGAGACCCGGACTGAGGATGCCCAGCCCCGAGGGGACACATCTTATGGCGAGTCTGATTCCTGCACAGCTGCAGCGCCCATGGTGCGCATGGGATCGGCTCCTACTGTATACCTGCCAGGCGCTTCTGTGTGGGTGGGACAATGCACTTTGTGAGTTATGGACAGATGTGCCCAAGGGACCCCGGGGGGGGGGGGTGACAGGAAGCATTAAACATGCAATGCACTTTGCAGAAGCCGCTCTCGTCCGCCCTGGCACTTTTAGGGTCCCCAAGGGACGGAGCCCTCAGCTAATGGGAGTGATCGGGTCAGCTGATGGGCCCCACCCTGCTGCCTGCTGTCTGCTGGGCTCAGATTCCAGTTCACTGGGGCTCAAGTCTTTGGAAATTTGGGGACGGGGACAGAGACAACAGAATCTGCTTGGGACATTTGGGTCCTAATCTCTGTCACCCCCTGAGTCCTGAGCAATCCTTTGCATACACAGGCAGCCGGAAGGGGTGGTTTGCATAATGATCTGGCTACTTCTGTGCAGGACGCGGGGTGGGCCGTGTGGACCTTGCCATTTGGGCTTCGTGGGCGCACTCGAGAGGGTTAGGATTTGGGAGGCTTTTTGGAGAAGAACAAGGGAACTGGCACCTCCTAGGATTCTGCTGTCCTCCAGGTAAGGCTGCTGCCCGGCCACTGAGGACGCTGTCTTCTCCCTGTGTCTCCCAGGGGCATCCCTCTGTGTGCGTCTGTGTCCTCATCTCCTCTACAGGGACCCCAGTCCTGCTGGTGGGTCAGGGCCCCTCTGAGACCACACTGTATCCCCATCCCCTCTGTAAAGACCCGTGTCCACACACAGGCACATCCCAAGGTCCTGGGGTCAGGGCTGTAGCAGCAAAATTTGGAAAGGGACTGAAGTGAGCCCATGACTCCCTGGCTTCTTGACAGAACATGGTCTTCGCCCTCCTTCCACACCAGGACAGTGAGACCTGTGTGTCGATCCTGTCTCCCAACAATCCAGATGGCGAACTGTTACTAAGTTGCTTGTATCAAGGGGGTCGAATTGTGAGGCAGGGATTTTGAGAAGGAATACTGGGTTCACAGTAATCTTCTAATGAATGCCTTTCTATACCTGTTGGTCAGTTTTTCATTGCTGTAACAAAAAACCTGAGGGTTAATAATGTATATATAAAAAAGATCTTTTTTTTTTTTTTTTTTTTTAATCTCATAGGTCTAGAGGTTGGAGAAGCCAGTTACAGTGGCCTCCTGGGCTGCACTGGAACCTGGCACTTGGCTTCATGGTTGGGAGTATGTGGGACATGATGGGACCTCATGGCAGGACCAGGAGCCAGGGACCTTCAGTAACTACCCCTCCTTTGAGTAGGCGGTCCCTCAATGGCACCCCACCAGGAGCCAACCTGAACTTTGGGGGAACACAGCACACCCGATTGTCTCTGTCTCTGTGCGTGTTTCTTGAGCATATTCTAAATACATCCTACTCATTTCTCCAAATTTCCGCCTCTGTGCGCATGTGATGACACCCGTCTGTATGCACCTCTTAAACCTCTGGGTGCAGCGAGATCTGAACATCTATGCATCACCGGCTCCTAACTGGACGCACATTTTTCTTTTCTTCTTTTGGTGCCGGGGATGGATCTCCCGTGGTGGCTCCTGCTAAGCTGGGCTCCACGATTGAGCTCCGGGTGTCTCCTTCTGGGTCCTCACCAATGCCATAAGTCTCTGTGTGGGTCCATCTTCACATCTGTGTGTCCCCGTCCTGGGACATCTCACTGAATATGTCCTAAGCATATGCACACACTGAGCATCTATCTGTCTGTGTGTCTTGACATGTCCTCGTCCCCAAGATAGCAGTACGTCCGTAGGCACCCTGAGCCTCCTCGACCTGCACCTGCTAACAGGTGTGCACGCCCCATGCATACACCGGTCCCTCTGCACCCTAAGCATCGTGGCGCCTCCATACCCCAAGCGCCTTTTAGTCCCTGTGCATCTTGACACCCACCTCCAGGCGCGTGGTGCACGCCTGTCGTCTCTGCGGCTCCGGAGGCTGAGGCAGGAGGATCGCGAGTTCAAAGCCAGCCTCAGCAGCTGAGCGAGGCCGTGCGCATCCCCCTGGAGCCACAGCCACCTGACGCGTATCTCAGTGTGGAACGTCACCCGTGCTCCAGCGTCACCCTTCCCTGGTCCCCGCAGGTTCTGGACGAGCCACGACGATCGCTTCCTCTACATGCTGATGGAGTACGTGCCGGGCGGCGAGCTCTTCAGCTACCTGCGCAACCGCGGCCGCTTCCCCTGCAGCACCGGGCTCTTCTATGCCACCGAGATCGTGTGCGCCATCGAGTACCTCCACTGCAGGGACATCGTCTACAGGGACTTGAAGCCGGAGAACATACTCTTGGATCGGGACGGCCACATCAAGCTCACGGACTTCGGGTTCGCCAAGAAGCTGGTGGACAGGTAGGAGACCCCCCGGGGATGCGCGTGCGCCTGGAGAGTGGCGAGGCCAGGCACCCAGGTGCAGCGAAATTGCAGAGCGTCCACTGTCCCGTGCGAAGCCGGGGGTCCAGGGGCAGGCCTGGGGCTCGCTGTGGTCCGCGCTGGTCCCTGGACAGGTCATGCTCCTTCCTGTCCACCTTGGAAGAGGCCCCTGTGTGGCCCTGCCGTGCTGACCCGAGACTGTCCAAGGTGCCCGAGGCGCATGCAGAGCCCCTGCGGGGAGCGCGGTGCAGATCCCGCTCCAAAGCTACTGCACCCTGCGCTCCCGTCCTTCACCCTCTGTCGCTGGGTCTGCGCTGCGTTTCCATTGGATGGGCCTCTGCCATGTGCGTGTCCCTCACACGTACGTGGGTCTCCGCTGCGTTTCCATGTCATGGATGCGTTAAAGCTCAGGGTAAGAAAGCGGTGTTTCAGGTTGCACACGACATTACGGATCCAACTGCAATTTTAAATTTTGAACCAGGGATTGAACTCAGAGCACTCGACCCCTGAGCCCCGTCCCCAGCCCTATTTTGTGTTTTATTTAGAGACAGGGTCTCCCTGAGTTGCTCAGGGCCTCGCTTTGGCTGAGGCTGGCTTTGAACTCGCGATCCTCCTGCCTCAGCCTCCCGAGCCCCTGGGAAGACCGGCGTGGACCACCGCGCCTGGCTGGTATTGCACTTTGAATCCCACGTTTTCTATTACGCACGAGGTTACAGGAAACGCGAGTGTTCTCCAGAGAAGGGGAAGGAGGAAGAGACGAGGGTCCCCTATGGAAAACCCTGATCCGTAAAGTCCTCTTGTGCACACGTATGCACACAGCATGTGTCAATATGTGCACATCCATGTGCACGTGTGTGCACGTGCATGTGTTAGCACACGGGACTGATCGTGTCAATCTATTGTATATTAACACGATACAACAATATAACAAGTACATACTGATATAAATACATAGAATTGTACATGGTGTACAATATTTGTTATATATGTAAATACTTAGTACAATAACAAATATTGTACATCTCCCATTGTGTATTGTATTATATACCATATATGATTTTAGTGTTCACCAGAGAAGCAAAACCAGGACACTTATAATCCTGTCTGAAAAACCCTAATTGATATAGACTTAAAGTGCTCTGTATGCATATATATTTATTAATGAAATACGTAAGCATATACCTATATACCTGTATTATATACTATATTATGTTAATATGCATTTATGGGCATGTATACATATAGTATCATATTAATGTACTCACATCCAAACACAAACCCTTAATACATGCACATGGATACATGTGCATGTATATATATATATATATATATATATATATATTTCATTATTAATATATTAGCATTAATTATGTCTATAATATATTAATGATGCATTTATATTATATAATGGTGTAAAGTAATACATACTTAATGATATGTATTTAATACATATTTAATGATATGCATTTAATACATATTCACATGCATGTGAATATATCATATTGGATTAATGTATGCACACACTCCTACATGCATATATTTGCATATATACATACATGTATAGATTATATCCATATACACACATTGCATATACCCAGGTGTATGTATGTCGTGTTAATATATATGCACATACATGTGTTTATGAACATAAGCTATAATTATATTGGTATTAATCCTGTCGATGTAATGCATTAGCATTTTAATACACATGTCGTTTTAATATGCATATGTGTGTACATATACATGCATATATAATATAAATCAATATATTAGTATTGATCTTGCCAATTAATACATTAGCATTTTAATACACATGTATCATGTGGTTTTAATGTGCATACGTGTGTGTGTACATACACACATGTGCATAGGATATATATGAATATATTGGTATTAATTCTGTCAATGTCATCCACTGATATTTTGTAACCCACTGAACACATTGATGGTCGTGGGTGACATTCACAGCGTATGCACAATGTGTGACACGCGAACAGCTGTAGGCACCCACACAGTGACGAGCTCACACGGCTGCGCATTTGTGTGTCTAGCACCGCTCTGTCCTGGATGGTGGCCTCTTCTGTGGCCCACACCTGTCATCCCAGTGGCTTGGGAGGCTGAGGCACGAGGATCATGAGTTCAAAGCCAGCCTCAGCCAAAGCGAGGCCTAAGCAACTCAGGGAGACCCTGTCTCTAAATAAAATGCAAAATAGGGCTGGGGACGGGGCTCAGGGGTCCAGTGTCCCTGAGGTCAATCCCTGGTACCAAAAAGAAAAAAAAAAATGTCTTCCTGCAGTTTAACCTTGAGAGACCAGACTCATCTGTCCAAGCTGCTGTGAAATACTTTTAAAAGTTTTCCTGCAACTGTCCAGAGTGTTGGTTTTTCAAATTCATTTTAAATTAAGTTGAAGGAGACGGTGACCCTCGTTTTGCCCAGAATAATTAATAAAGAGGTCACTTTTTTTCCTCCAAAAATTTTGGAGCGTCGGTGCTGCCCTCTGCTGGCGGCCCGCGGTACATGGGGAGACCCAGGTCCTTGAATGAATACCTGGGTTCTGAGGCCTCCTCCCGCAGGCCACGCCCCTTTTCTTTTCTTAAAGTTATTTTCCTTAAAAGTCTGATGCAAAGGAACCAGGAAGAAAGTGCTCCCTGTGTTCATTTTTCTATCCGTTGCACAGATTCTGTGGCTTCCCTGTACATCCATCATAATATCCACGGAAGCTCATTTTTTTGAAGGTCACTGAGGTTTTAACAATGAATATTATAAAAAATGAATATTATGGTCCCTTTACCATTTATTTATCTGGTGTTGGGCATTGAACCAGAGCCGCTTTACCACTGAGCCACAATCCCCAGCTCATTTTATTTTATTTTATTTTATTATTTAGAGACAGGGCCTCATCCATTGCTTGGGACCTCACTGAGTTGCTGAGGCTGGCCTCCAACTTGCCATCCTCCTGCCTCAGCCTCCCAATCTGCTCTCTGTATGCTCTACAAGAGCTTCTGTGTGTAACTAAAATCTGCAGATTCCCAAATTTTCCTTGCAAGAAAGGCGACGATCTGGGCAGCAGCGAAAGCGTTGATGATTAAAAACAAAACATGACAAAAGGGGAAAAAAATAGCAAACCAGGTAGAGTGACCTCCCTGCATCCCGAAGGCCACCCAAGTCGCTGGAATTTAATGCGGTTGATGGTCCTGAAAAATCCAATCCCCTCTTTCACCACTTGTCCACTGGGTGGCGCTAGAAGCTAAGCTAATTTTTTTCTTTCTTTTTTTTTTTTTTTTCTGCTCCCAAGGATTGAACCCAAGGTCTCCCCGAGTTGCTTAGGGCCTAAGTTGCCGAGGCTGGCCTCCAACTGGCCATCCTCCTGCCTCAGCTTCCGGAGCCTTGGTTTCTCGCCTTTTGCAGATACGTGAGGAGCTGGGTGGGGTGCCCTGTGTCCCTGCAGCAGCTGACCTCCCCGTGCTCCTCTCTGTTGCCCTCCCAGGACGTGGACCCTCTGCGGGACCCCCGAATACCTCGCCCCTGAAGTCATCCAGAGCAAAGGCCACGGGCGGGCCGTGGACTGGTGGGCGCTGGGCATCCTCATCTTCGAAATGGTGGCAGGGTGAGTGGGTCCCCCTCTCAGACAGTGCGCCTGGCACAGCAGCGCCTCTTGCTGTCCGTCTGTCCAAGAGACATTGCTGTCTATCTGTCCAAGGGACGTTGCTGTCCCCAAACTCGAAAATGCATGCATGCTGGGATGACGGACAGGCTGCTGTGCAGGGGAGGGAAAGGCAAACCCGTGAACAGGGGACCGTCCACCCTGGAGATGTCCTGAGAAGCCCGCGCTTTCTTAACTGTGGTGTCCACCTGGGGCCCAAGGCTGACCTGCAACGAACATGCAGAACCGAGCAGCCCACATGTCACACAGAGCTACGGCCATCAAAGGCGGCCAGCATCCTGCAGGGAGCAGCTGGCCATGCTGCCTCCCGAGGTCACTTTCTGGGCATTGGACACAGTCAGGAAAGGTCTCCCGCGTCCCCCAGGTGTGCAGCCCGCTGTCCCTCCTGACCAATGCACACAGGGCCGCGTGGCCTGACAGGCTCCAGCTCCCGGGGTTTCCAACCCACTGAGGTCCCCAGGTCCCGAGTCCTGTTTCTGTTTGGGGGACCCCCCCCACCCCCATGAGGATGGACTTTCTTTTTTGAACTGTGGTACCACGGATGGAACCGAGGGGTTCCTAGCGCCGAGCCCCTGTTATTTCATTTCTCTGAAATGGATTTGAGCAGGTGAAGTGTGCGTATCAGTCTGTGCGGCTGCTGTAACAGGTTGGCTCAGCCGAGGGTCCCGGGAGCAAGAGAAATGGATCCACCTCACCCTGCAGGGCAGAGACTGGACCCGGGTCCCAGGCTGAGCTCCCTCCACGGGATGTCAGCTTTCCGTTACTATAACAAAAAGCTGCGAGAATTATGAAGAAAAAAGGTTTCTTTTTTTTTTTTTTTGCTCATGGATTCAGTGGGTCCCACCCATGATGGTGCCTGGCCACAGACGCTGTCTAACTGAATGTGCATAAGTCGGTACCAATAAAACTTTATTAACAAAACCAGATTCGGGGGCCGGGACATATCACCTTGCAAACCAGATCTCTGCTGCCCACGAGCACCATCTAGAAAGCGCTGTTGGTTTACATGACCTTCCCTGGGAGGTGGTGCCCTCTGCCGGGGACCTTCCCAGACAGATGGGCACCCCGCATTCTGTCCGAGAAAAACCATCGGGACCGCATCATCTCTTCCACACCATGATTTCCGTGTGCAAAAAGTAAGATAAAATAACTAAAATAGACGTTTCTTTTTCCAACAGGTTCCCCCCGTTTTTTGACGACAACCCATTTGGCATCTATCAGAAAATTCTCGCAGGGAGGATAGATTTCCCAAGGTATTTGGATTTCAGCACGAAGTAAGTACCTGGCACCCTGCTCGGTGGTTTCTTCTTATTTTTATTTATTTTTAAACTTTTTGCTGGTAGGGATTGACCTCAGGGGAAGCCCTAAGCAACTCAGGGAGACCCTGTCTCTCAATAAAATGCAGAATAGGGCTGGGGACGGGGCTCAGGGATCGAGGGACCCTAGGTCCAAGCCCCAGCACCAAAAAAATAACATAAGAATAAGAATAAGGATCTAGAGGCCAATGGCCACAGAGTTTTCAAGGTTTTAAATACTTTTCCAGGTTGTCAATCAAGTCTTGAGAGCATCTGAGACCTACAGCACCCAAGTGCTCTATGAGGTCATCCTGTGGTCTCAGGTTCTGAAACCAGAGAGGGCTTCTGTCGTCACTGAGGGTACACAGCATTACTAATTCCCAGGGTCTCCAATCTTCCGCCACTGTCATTTCCCAGCAGTAGGGACAGGTGCGATTTGCAGCCTAGACCCGGAAGCCTTCTGGGCTTCGGAGATCAGAGATTTCTCTTCTGACCTACTCCCAGTGCCCTAGCTAATGTTAGGAGATTGCACAGTCTCCACCCTGTGCAACAGTCCCAGGGGAAGTTTTGTGACATCTGAAATACGTGGATATCATTAGGCACATGAAGAATTTACGACGGTGACAAATTGTGCCAGAGAATGGTCCCCATGATCATGCGCTTGAGGTAGCTGCTCTCACTGTGGCCCTAAGATGGTGTGTGTTGACTGATTCTGTTTTCTGTTCCCCAAACAGAGACCTCATTAAGAAATTGCTGGTGGTGGACAGGACCAAGCGCCTGGGCAACATGAAGGTCTGTACCTTCCTCACGAATGGGCACCAACCAAGGCCCAGGACACGCCATTGCGACTCTCTTGTCATTATTCATCTTTTTGACATCCTGGTCCGATTGATGGGAAGAGAATCCAAAACCCATTGAATGTACCCATTGATCCAGTTCCGTGTGCCCATTTTTTTTCCCCTAGAATCAGGGGAACCACTGACCCCAACCCCAGCCGTTTAATTTATTGATTATTATTTACAGCGGCGCCGCATCACCCTGCTGCGTGATCTCTGGTCATTCTTGGCCTTAAGCAATCGCACACCTGATTTTTTTTTTTTTTTTTTTTTAACTTTTGTTGGTAGAATTTCCCTGTTCTGGCCCTTTTGAATGTGTGGACGTGTAGAAAGAAAGCGTCACCTTTTGGGTCTTATTCTATTTTATTGCAGTGTTCTCCGGATTTTGCCTCATCCTTACTTTTCCCAGTATGTCTTCCTTATTCATGGCTGAGTAGTATTCCACGGTCTCGATAGACAGCACTGTGTCTGTCCATGGAGGTTTCTGCCGTGACCACCTCTTAGCGACTATGAGCAGGGCCGTGATAGACGTGGATATTTGTGTGAATTAATCGCGTTACATTAAAACTCACATGCTGGTTTTATTTTTAATTTTTTAAATTTTTTTGAGAAAGAGACCCCTTTGTTCACTACACCTTGAGGTCCCCAACGATTCTTTTATATTTTTTTTGCTTGGTACCAGGGATTGAACTCAGGGTCACCCGATCCCTGAGCCCCATCCTCAGCCCTATTTAGTATTTTATTTAGAGACAGGGTCTCCCTGAGCGGCTCAGGGCCTTGCTGTGTCTTTTACTCTCTGGATAATGAGGTGTGTGTGTTTGCACACTCGACACACTGACGGTGCCCCTTCCTCCTGCAGAACGGCGCCAATGACGTCAAGCAGCACCGGTGGTTCCGCGCTGTGGACTGGGACGCTGTCCCCCAGAGGAAGCTGAAGGTGACCCTCTTTTGAACATTTCTTACACAACGCAATGATCCCAACCTCTGTAAAACCACTCTATTGGTTTCTGGTTGACTATTCCAGATCCCTCACATGAGAGAGAACACGGGGCGCTTGTCTTTCCATGCCTGGCTCATGTCCCTTAATAGAATGTCCTCTGGTTCCATGCATTTTCCTGCAAGCGACATCATTCCATTCTTCTTTCTGGCTGCATAATATTCCATTGGGCATATGTATCGCATTTTCTTTATCCATTCATCCATGGCTGGACACCTAGGTTGGTTAACAGCTGTATCCACGTCTTCAAGGGGTATCTTAGAGCCAGTGACCTTCCCAGGATGGGGTGAAGTGTTTCAGTCCCACTTTTTTTTGTGGGTACCAGGGATTGAATCTAGGGGTACTTAACCCCTGAGCCCCATCCCCAGCCCTATTTTGTATTTTATTTAGAGACAGGGTCTCCCTGAGTTGCTTAGGGCCTCGCTTTAGTTCCCAGCTGCCCCTGTCCATGAACATTGGAAACCTGTCCATCTTCTTCACGTCCGTTCCCACTTCTATGTAAAATAGCAGAAGGGGAAAAGGGAAACGATATCCTCAGTGTCCCCGTGTCCCCGTACCTAACTGTGGCTGACCTCCCGCAGCCCCCCATCGTACCCAAGTTATGCAGCGATGGCGACACCTCCAACTTTGAGACGTACTCTGAGAACGACTGTGAGACGACTTCGCCGGTGTCAGAAAAAGACTTGGAAATCTTCAAGAATTTCTGAGGATTCGAACTCACGTTTTCGGAAGGTAGGTCTTTAATGGGGTGGCTTACCTCCTTCATCCGTCGGGACTCAAGCAAAGAAGCGAAACCAAGTCTCCCTCATGTGACACACCACCCTCTGAGATTTCAGGGGCCACCCGTCTGAAAAGGTAAAAAGGAAGATTCTAGAAAACGACAATTTATAAATTATCATTTTTTTTTCTAATTGCACACTGTTTGGCTCATGTGACAAAAATCTCAGGGCCGACTTCCTGGAATGTGAAAAATGTCTTTGCCCCATGTATCCACCCTTTATATGCTACCTACCCATTAGTCACTTAGCAGCCATGTTGGTTATCAGATGGACAGAAATGAACGTTTGCATCTTTCCCCAACTTCTTCTTACAGGGTAGGCACCTTATCAGCCCAAGAAGTCGGGAGCGTACGGTCCAGTAGGGTATTTTAAGAAAAAGAGACCACAGGCATGAAACTTTCATTAGGGTCTATTATCATAAATGTTATATTTGGAATATGTTCGTTTGGTGGTTGTATTTTATTAGTTATGGTCAGTCTCTTACTGTGCCTGATTTATAAATCAAACTTTCTCATAGGTATGTATATATGGGAAAAAACATAGTGCACGTTGGGTTTGGTGCTCTTTGTGACTTTAGGGAACCCAGGGGGTCTTGGAATGTGTCTCCGGTGGCTAATTGGGGGTCATCAAAATGATAACCAAGGCACAGTGTTTGGCTCAGGACTGTGTGACCCCCAGGATCATAGGATTCAGTCAGTATTTTTTGCTGCTGTGACCAAAACCCTTGAAAAGAACAATTAGAGGAGGAGGAGTTTATTTGGGCTCCTGGTGTCCGAGGTCCAGTCCCTGGTGGCCGACTCCATGGCTCTGGCCCAAGGGGAGGCAGAACAAGATGGCGGCAGGGCCCGGAGGAGGAGAGCAGCTCAGGACAGGGCACCAGGGAGCAGAGAGAGCTCTGCTCACCAGGGACAGGACAGAGACCCCAAAGGCACAGCCCAGGGACCCCCTCCTCCAGCCACACCCCACCTGCTGCAGTCACCACCCAGTGAGTCCATTCAAGTGGATTAATCCACTATTAGGTTACACCTCTCATAACCCAATTATTTCACCTCTGAATATTGTCTCCCACATAAGATATTGGGGGACACTTTGTGTCCAAACCCATTACAGCTTCTTTGAGTCCCTGTCCTCTGTGTCTGTGAGCGAATGTTAAAATACCAGGGACTACCCCATATGGAATTGCTGAGTTTTTTCAAATTTCAAAATTTCTGAGATCTCAAAATTTCAAATCATTTCAAAATGATCTCAAGTCTATTTCATTGAGCTTCTACAGGTCTTTTTTGTTTTTCTTTTTAAATATCAGTCATTGCTTATGCATACGGGACTATGTTCCATGACTGGCCTATGGTGCTCAACATCAGAAAGTACCGAATCCTATGTAAAGTAGAACAATTACAACATTATACTGTAGTAATATTCCCTGTGTCAGTATCAAATTTGGGACCCATATTAACTAAAACGAGGGTCATTAGCGCTGTCGTACCACCGCGACATCCAGTCTGGTCATGAGGAAAGTTACGAGGTGACTAAAGGGAGGGTAGCATATACAGTGTGGAAACACTGGGCAGAGGTGCTGTTCCGAGGTGGAACACAAGAGGGCGCTGCCCAGTTTGGCACATGATGTTTTTAACGTTGTTTTTTTTTGTGTGTGTGTGTGTGGAATTTTCCACTGCTACGTTTGCACCCCTGGGATGACAGTACCCCAGATGGAGGACTCGGGGTCCTGCCTTGTTACTTATGAAAGGGAGACGTTTCTATGACTCTCAAGACGATAACCAGGAGTCGTGTCCAGCTGTGCGCAAACCCTAACTCAATCCCTTGTCCCTCTCCTTCCAGGAACACGTCAGCCTGCCCAGGACCAAGAACTTCACCTCCGTCGGCCCAAAGAAATGCTCTCTCTTGGTGCGAGGAGGACTTTGCGCACTTATGGACGCCCAACTGTATATAGAGGCCGGGGGACAGTTGAGATTTCACGGACGGGGCAATTATGGAAGCAACTGGAACCTTCTCCTGCGCCGTAGGAAATGGGTTGTGGGGGTTTTTAATCGTAACCTGTTAGCAGCTGTGCTTCTACTGTGCGTTGGTTGGTTTTCTTGGACTCGAACCTGCAACCAGACCCGCCGGCTCGTAACCACAGGTTGTGCGTGTGTGTGTGCGTGCGTGCGTGAGTGTGTGCGTGCGTGTAAGGGCTTCTCCTTGGCCAAACCTATTCTTTTCAGTTTTTAAAAATCCTTTGAAAAAGAAATGGGTCGCCTCGGAGACAAAGCTCAAATCTATGATGGGTGCATTTAAAAAAAAATAATTCCCCTAACACCGTCTATGCATTTTATAGATATTTATGGAGTTTTTCCTTCCATATCGATGGGACTTTCTCTCTGGACGCTTTACACTTTGGAAATGCAAAACGGAGAGGGTGCGGATTGGAGCAGCCGGAGATGTGCTAAAAATTTGGAATGCAATCTCAACTCTTTTTTTTTTTTTTTCTTTTTAATGCCTTTGGGGGATTGAACCCGCTGTGCCTGAGCTCCACGCTCGGCCCCCATCTCTGAACGGTTCATCAGAGAAGGTTCTGGACTTAGAAGATAATGTCTCTTCCTGGCCTTTGCCTCCCAAACTCAATCTATTGATTCATTTAATAATTAATCTGTTAGAAATAAATCAGCCAGCTGTCTGTATACCTGGAGTGTCCCCTGTGAGCAGAGTAACAAATGGTACCTGGACACAGGAGTCCTGGGGGCTCCCTTATTTTTTGTGCCAGGGATTGAACTCAGGGGTACTTAACCACAGAGCCCTGTCCCCAGCCCTTTTTTATATTTTATTTAGAGACAGGGCCTCCCTGAGTTTTTTAGGGCCTCCTTTTGGCTGAGGCTGGCTTTGAACTCACGATCCTCCTGCCTCAGCCTCCTGAGCCCCTGGGATAACAGGTGGGTGCCTCCGCACCTGGCTAGGTTTTTATTTTTTATTTTATTTTTTGTCTACCCATTTAATACTGGAAAAAAAAATAATCCAATGTGCAGAATCACGGGTGACGGGATTCTTCCATGAGATTGCAGTCAGCCCCCCGACGATGCAGAGCAAGTTAGACGCTAAGAGGAAATCCAGCAGCAGGGGACACTGTTATCGCCAACGTTGACAGAAACCTCAGGGGCACGTGCCTTCTCTAAGGACTGGGCCACGGTCACTGCATGTGGCCTCAGGTAGAGACCGATGTCGGTGACCCCAATCACGCACTTGGAACCACTGTTTCATCTCATCCCCAAAGAGTTGACTCTGTGGGGACCTTTGCAAAATTTCCCGATAGGCGTCCAACCTCATCCGGGTGCCAAGAGTCAAAATAAAATACGTGCAACTTTGTATCTGCAAAAGGCCCAGGGGAGATGTTGCTTTTTATTTATTTTTTTTCTTTTATGATTTATGAATCGGCAGCATTTTGTTCAACAGGAACAGCTTCAAAGATAGAGATTTGCAAGAAAAAAAAAATAGAGATATATACGGCCCGGGGGGGATCCCCGTTTCCCCAGGGAGAAGTCTCACCTCTTGCCTTCTTGCGTGTGCATGGAGAAATTCAGGAAGGAAATAAAAGGATCACAGGGAATTTAACACCCAAATGCCACAGAATCTTGCATGCGTGTCCTGCAAGCAGATGCACAATCACTGGATCATAAATCAATTTTTTTTTATTTTTTTGTTTGTTTCATTCTGTGCACCTTAAAAGATCAGGTGATTCCAACTCACTGTTTCAGAACGCCCCCCTGGGGACAGTGACATTTTCGCACACCTTTGCCACACGCCGTCACCTACGTTGCCTGCAACCTTTGGGACCATTTCAACTGTGAAACCGGCTCAGGACTGTTCATAGTGGACCCCCCCCCGCCCCCGCCGCGGGGGCGGGGGGGGGGGGGGCACCCCAGGACTTGCAGATGGGTCCCCCCCCACACGTCTGTCAAAGTCACTGGGTTGACAAAGTGCTTTTCCGAGCATATCGACATTTTTTTTTCCTGTCGAATTTGCTTTTGCAAAAACCACTGGGTCTTATGTCCCCCGGGACCCTCTTCCCTGAGAACAGGAGGACGCCCTGTGTTTTTTTTTTTTTTTTAATAAGTTTTCATGTTGTAAACTCTGTTCACCGTGCAGTTCGTCCCTTTTTTGTGGAGGGGTCTGTTATTTAAGTTAAAAAAAAAAAAATCACTCCACGACGTGGGTGGGATGGGAAGCCCTCCCTCAGGCCTATCTTGTCATTGGATATTAATTTTTTTTTTTTTTTTTTTTTAAAACTGCGCAAAATAAAGATTGTGTCTTTTTTTGTGTGTGTGTGTGTGTGTGTGTGTGCGCTGTGTCTTGTGCTCTGGGCACACGTAGGTCCTCGGTGCACCCTTTGCAGATCTGGCGTGTGCACCCTGCAGGGCGCTGGGTCCCAGATCCTCACGAGGAATTCCAGAAGCCTGTTTCTCATCCCGCCGATGCATTGCACAAAGGAAATCACTGTGATTTGTGTGTGTGTGTGTATATATATATATATAGGCCCTAGGAAAATCTTACGGCTAATTTATGGAATAATACTATGGATTCCAGGTTTTGTTTAATAATAATAATAAAAACTTTGTATCTTTTAAGAAATCTGAATCGGCTCCTCTGCTTCTGTCTGAGAACCCACGTTCTGTCGGTGCTGGGGTCGAATGAGGGGTCAGAAGCCGGTAACTGTTTTCATCTTGGCAAGACACAGTGGCTCTTTCGGGTAGGATGCACAAAGGAACCGTAGGTGGTTTGTAAAGGATGGTCCCAGCTAAGTTTTATTGACAGCTGAAGTTCAAAAACAGCCCAAAGGAGACAGCAACCCATTTGTCTGTGTCTGGCTAAACAGATAAATACAGGGTGGTGTATCCATGCAGTGGAATATTATGCAGCCTTCAAAAGGAAGAGAATTTGGAAACTGGGTTCAGGATGGGTGAGCCCCAAGGACCTCACGGTCAGTGAAACCAGCCTCACACAAAAGGACAAGCACTGCAGAGTCATCAAGCTCAGAGACAGAAACTAAAATTGGGTAGTTACAGGGGCTGGCAGAGGGAAAATGGAAAGTTATGAATTCCAGTTTCACAAGTTATAAAACTCTGGTAGGGATGGTGCCAGGACAGTTAAGAATATTCTTAAGCACAGTGGTTTAAAGACTTCAAAATTATTAAGATAGGCGGGAACAGTGGTGCACCACTATAATCTCAGCAGCTCAGGAGGCTGAGGCAGGAGGATGACAAGTCGGAGGCCAGTCTTGGCAACTTAGCAAGGCCCAAGGCTACTTAGCAAGAACGTGTCTCAAAATAAAAATAAAAAGGGCTGGGGATGGGGCTCAGTGGTTAAGCACCCCTGGGTTCAACCACCCACCCCCTCAAAAATTAGAGAAATAAAAAAGAACAGGAAAACAAGGTTAAGATGCTACTCTTGATGACAATGACATTTTTAAATTTAAAGAATGTGTCCATCTTGATCTTTGTCTCTGTGAACAAGTCTTTCTCAGTCAGGCAACAGAAAAAGACAACATGAACTGTCAGCAAATCGTGGGGACACACAGGAAGTTCCCAGTCTCAGCAGGGACCCCATAACCACGCCCCTTAACTGAGACCTTCCTGATCAGTCCCTTAACCACGCCCACTGTGGCCACGCCCCAGCATAATTAGACTCCTCTTAATCATATGCCACTGTAACCATGCCCACTGAGGCCACGCCCACCATGACCACGCCCTGCTATAAACAGCCCCATTGTAATCATGTCTCACTGTAACCACGCCTTAACCATAACCACGCCCCCAGTGAGGCCACGCCCCCACCATGGCCACACCCCTAGTGGCCACGCCTTGTTATAACCAGCCCCATCATAATCTGCCCCATTGTAACCACGCCCTACGTTAGCCACGCCCCACTGTGGCCACGCCCCCACCTGAGTCACACCCATGGTGACCGCTTCTGCAAGGATTTCTGTTTTCTTCTTGTTTCTCCAGGGCTGGGGGATCGACCCCTGCGTGCCAGGCCAGCCCTCCAGCCCTGACCTACATCCCCAGACCATTTTATTTTTATTTGATGGCAGGGTCTTCCCAAGTTGCCCAGGTTGGCCTCAAACTCCCGATCCTCCTACCTCAGCCTCCCAAGTGGCTGGGATTCTTGGGGTGCACCACTGTAACCATATTGCAGTGTGAATGTCCACACCATCATGGATCAAGACGCGTAAGGCGTTCTTATTGGGAATATGACCTTCAGCTACTTAAATTTTCTGGAAATAAGAAAGCATGCTTTGTAAATTTTGCTTTGTTTTTGCTTATTTAGTTATTTATTCTGTACCGAGCCATTCCCAAACACAACCAGAAATCATGATTTTTTTTTTCTTCCTTTTTTGGTACTAGGGATTGAACTCAGGGGCACGGACCCCCATCCCCAGCCCTATTTTGGATTTTATTCACAGACAGGGTCTCCCTAAGTTCCTTAGCACGTTGCTGAGGCTGGGCCTCCTCCCTCAGCCTCCCAAGCAGCTGGAGTAACAGGCATACACCTCCGCGCCCTGCAAACATGACCTGTCTTTCCGGGTTGCTTTTCTTCTGTTTTTGAGGGACAAGGTGCATCTGTTTCTATGTCCTGAGATTTTTGCCTCCTGGGCCAGAAGAGAGAGGCAGGAAGGCCCGACAAGGGACTTCAAGGTGGGCCTCCACAGGGTGTGAGTCGGAGGCCCCGGAGGGGAGCAGGCAGCCTGGCGGGATGACTAGGAACTGTTGGGTCTCTGTCACCCTGCAGAGAGCCGATGACGCTCAGTGGCAAACCCTGGGGTGGACTCTCTCCTGGCCTTAAAGAGGAAGGCCAGGGGAAGTTGCTCGTGAATACAAGCGGCCAAGGGATGGTGGCCAGCAGTGGGGTCCCTCGTGATGGGCGCTGGGGAACGTGCACCCAGGGTTTCCCTCGAACTCGAGCTGTCACCCATACAGGTCTCAGGGTGAACAACTCCCTGTCCAGCACCCAGAAGACACAGCCCGCCATGCTGGGGGGGATTCGGGGCTGTCACAATTGTGCACATGGTTAGCATCTAATAGGCAGAGATCAGGGGCGCGCTCAGCACCCCGGGGGCACCAAAATGGTCCTCCAGGCCAATCTGCTGGCCCCAAAGAGGACGATGCAGGTGGACAAAACTGAAGGACACAAAACTCCAATCTCTGCCTCCTGTCTTCTCCACCCCCATAGAATGACCTGGTCCATTCTAGTCTGTAAATTTCTTGTCTTTGGTAGTGCGTGACAGTCGAGTGCATTTGGAGGGATCCCACATCCGTGGGGTGTAACTTCCCTGCCCTGGGCTTCGACAGGGTGCCTCGTCCCTCATTAACTTATTTCTCCCCCTGCACCCGGATCCCCACTCCTGGCACCCTGCCGTTGTCACACCCCCAGGGACATCTGTGGAACATGTGTCGCTAGGGACCCCTGTGGTTTCTCTCTGTCTCT